TGGTAGAGACGGGGTCTGGCTCTTGCTCAGGCTGGTCTCGAACTCCTGAGCTCAAACGATCCGCCCACCTAGGCCTCCCAGAGTGCTAGGATTACAGGAGTGAGCCACCACACCTGGCTGAAGCCTATTCTTAACAGTTACTTTAAAAAGGTTTACAAAAGATCCTGAAAAATAAAAAGTGCTTACTTTTAAGTCTAGCTTTCTCAGCGGGGTCCAGGGCAGCCACAGGCTCGGAGACTCGAGAGGGTAGGCCTATTCCAGTTTTATTCACAGCTCGGACTCGGAATATATAGGAACGACCTTCTATCAGTCCAGTGACTGGGAAACGGGCAAACTTCACAGGTGTGTCATTGCACTGAGACCAGCTGTCTGTGCCCACCTCACATCTAAGAAAAACAGAGTGATTGACAAAGACATTAAAAGAAGTGTGGCTAAATTTATAGCTCCAAGGCTGCAAACCCACCCAGCTGCTGCAGATCGTCTCTGTAAAATATCCAACTCAGCGTGGTTGATTATTAAACTGCAGGCACTTGTCCCACTCAAATGCAGTGTGTCTTCTTTAACAAGAGGAAAGAAGCCTCAGATCCTTCCTGAACCTATTAAAAGCAGGCAGCCAAGGGGCCTCACGAGCTAAGCAGAGGAGTTTGGGGGTTGAGGGAAAGCACCAGGTAGGTACTTGCAATCTTCACACTGGAGAGGCTTAGGTGGAGGATCCCCTAAACATCTCCCTGGCTGATGCCTTTAAAATTCTACCCTTAGTGACTTCTTTGTCTTTCTTAGGTATTTTCTTTTAAATATAGAAGTACTGTTGAGAAAATTGGCACCTTAAAAGATGCCTACTTGCACTGTAGTTTGGAAAACAGCTCAGCGTATTTTCTCACTTGATGGTCACTGCATCTTGCGTGGGCGGGAGCCGGGGCAAGGAGGTCGTTGCAGTACATTTGTTTCTTTACCAGAGGAGACCGATGAGAGGCAGGGAGATTCCCAGGCCTGGCAGGGGAAGACTGAGTATGGGCTTGGAAATGCTGATTTTTAATTGAGTGCTTTTACAGCAATTGGTACCTGGGGATGGAGTGGGTCACTCCTTGGGAGACAAAGATGGCAGCTCATACCATATTATTGGCCTGATCCACAGGATTTCAGGGGCTCAATGTGTGATTGAATTATACAGCATTAGGGTGAAGTAACTCATACCATTTTTTATGAGCAGAGCACTGTACTTTTAGTTCATATTACTTCCTCAACATGACTCTATGTCCAAAATGTATGATTCCCAAATGATTCTCATGGGGGCGAGGGTCGCCGGTGGCAGTACAAAGGTGGTTGAGGTGGGGGGTTTATCTTGCCTTCCTCACTATCATCTTCCATTCTTCGATTTAGACAATAGACATTTTCCTTAGAGAAATGTAAAATGCTATCAAACACAGCTTCAATCTCTGTCTTCATCCATTTCTCCTAAATCTTTCCCTTGTAAAAATTCTGTAGCTGCTATGGTGGGGATGGCGGAAGCTGAGAGGGCTAGGACAATTCTTCAAACCACCCCCGTCTCCAGAGATCCTCCAGGACTCGGCTTCTTCCCTGAGAAGACACTGTTGTGGTGACCCTGTGATGTTAAAGAATGCTTCCTCTCAAGTGAGCAGAAAGAAAGGTGGAGAGCGCTGCTCCTGACACTTCTACCGCGTATTGGAGCAGAAAGAGCACAAACCTACAGCCAGGCTGATATCTGAATTCTCGTTCTGCTACTTAGTACTGGTGTGACTTTAGTGACTTTAGTGTTTCCTCACTGGCATGTGGTCTTGGACCAGCTACTTGTAATAATAAACTCTACCTCAAAGGGTGGTTATGGGTTAGTGGTTAATTAATGCAAAGTGTCTAGAATAGTGCCATGCTGCCATGCACGTAGTAAATGCTTAGTAAACACTAGCCGCAATGTGGATATTTTTATTATGACTAAGGCAAAAGGAGAACAAAATGTTCTGATTGTCCCTAGTCTTTCACTGATCAAAGTTTGAAAATCCCTTGGAAATCTGCCGAAGACAATAAAGCACGAAAAAGAATCTATCTGAACCTTCACAATTCATCATTACTAAATGAAATAATGTGGAAGCACTGTTTCATGTGTATGGTTAAGTAGTACATAATTCAGTATAGATATTTCTCTGGATAGTTTTGAGCCCAATGGGCATATATTTACTGATGGTTATAAATATGAGGTTTAATACGCCTTGGTACAAACCCATTGTACTACAGTGATACAGATTATCTGTCCCTAGTGGTTTCTATAATCATATTTCATTATTCAAAAATGAAAAGAGAATTGGAGCAACTGTTTGAATAGAAACAAAGTCATAGAATAATGCATTTAGGCCAATAATCTAAATTTGCTGCGTATATTGTCCAAACTCACTTCATAATTAATGTATAAAACCAAGTTACTGTAAATATCAGAGTCTATAAGTTTTGGAGAATGTAAATAACAAGGACTTATAGATAGAGTATAATTTAATACTATTGATTTTTGTTGTTATTTCTTTGTATAACTTAAAACCATATCTCACAGTATAAATAAGATTGTGTTAGTATTCCTAAAGTCAATATTCTTAAATTACCAACATATTAAGAATATTGACATTAAATATATTGAATACCAGCTATTTCATTTCCAAAGTGGTCTCTATTAGGTCTACAAATTCATAGTATTCTTTCCAAATTAGTGACTTGAGCTAGTAGTCAAGCTGAAAGAATTCATCTTTGGAATTTAGGTAAATTGGTAGGTAAATAGATATGAACATACAGATATAAAGAGTGTGTGTGTGTATATAGACAGATAGATAGAGACAGACAGAGACAGATAAAGAGAGAGTTGAAGAGAGAAACAGAGACAAAGAGAAAGAGAGAAAAAGGGGAAGGCCAGAAAAGAAAATATTTCACGTAGAAATTATGGGAGAAATCAAGCATGCATCTCTATGGCCAAATAACTCTAACTGAAGTTAGACTAAGCACTAACTTATCAATAAAGTATCCCAGAATAGGACTCCCTCCATCTACAGCTGGCTGTTTCCAAGAGATGATGATATAATCTTTGTTGGCCTCCAGGCACACCACATCCAAGGGAGCGGCTGGCGCTCCTTCAATCTCTGCATCAGCATCTGTGGAGATACAGAAAGATCCCGTTAACCTTCTCAGACATGCTCTGTCAGCTTGGCAGGCTGAGGTCTCAGCACACACATTCCTTATCCCATCACCACAGTGGCCATATCTTTGGCCCCAGCAGAGCAAGCCTCAGATCTTGTAATTTGTATATGAACATAACCATATGTGTTTTTCACCGTCAGTAGGAAGACCATCCTGTTAGAAAATAGAAAGGGCTCTAAAAAGAACCCATGACCTTTGCCTCATGACCCTTGCTGCCCAAAATGTTCCAAAAGAAAATTAATATGGAGATGTTGGAGATTGCTACCCAACAGGTCAATCCTGCCAGAAAGTCTGTTCTTACGACATTGATTGTGCAATGTTACTCGGAAACTATGAAAGGCTCTGAAGGGGGACAAACAGTCCCTTCTGGGTGCAACCATAAGAGAATAAGAACCATGCCCTTTGCCCATCCCTATGCTAGACATCACCATTTTGCAAGGGAAAGAAATACATTCGTTTTAATCACATGATTATTCCAGAACTAAAGATCCTCTGATGCAATACTCACATCTGAGCTTAGTTTATCTGAGTTTAGTAAAAGTCCAGGATAATGCAAGGAACAGAGGACAGTGACTGTTTATGAAATGCGATCCCCTGACCGTGTGGTCCCCTCTGGCACAGCTAAATTAGTGAATCGGGGCTGTTTTTAGGAGAGGAAGGGAAATGAGAATATTCAAGTTAGTAACCTTTTAAGTGAGAATAATTAAGACAAGAGGCAAGGTCCCAGGGGGAGGGGTCCATAATTGCCAATTCCTCTTGGCATTTGACTAAAGCTTTCATAGATGGAGTTAAGAGGAGAAGAGGCTGAGACATGCAGGAGCCACTCACCCAAGGGAAAGCACCCATGTTGACTGAACAAACACTTTCTTTTCCTACGCTCTACATACACTTCTGTATAACTCTTGTGAGTTACTAAGACATCTCATGACATGGCAGAAATATTTGTACACTTCCGAATTTAATAGGTATGCATTACCTGTGAAGAGCTCAAGTCACTTGCATTTTGAACATTCTGTTTCTTGCCCCATGAACCAGTAGGAAAGTGTCTCTAGGCAAATATCTCCTGCAGAAGTGCTACAGGAGAATGTAACTAAATTATTGTGCCTAAAATTTAATGCAGAATCCCTGCAAGCCACACAATGGGAAATGAGCATTTTGGTGCAGAGAAACTTCTTTCCTTCTAGGATTTGAGAGCACTGGATGGGGGAGGGTGGTGCTGCTGATAAAGGCAGAGTAGAGCAGGAGTGGAGGGGGGCATGTGGAGGCTGATGTGCTTCAATAGCACAAGAGGCACTACTGGAAAGCCACTCTGCCCCCAGGGGGACAGCTGGTGACCTCTAACCATGTCCTTTTGCTAAAAGCCTATAGCAAAACAACCAGCAACTCCTGCATTGATAGAGCAGAGTTTAGTTAGCTTAGCATGGATGTACTCTAGCAGGAATACACTGTAAAGGAGCCGGGCAGATGGTAGGCATTCAGGGAGCCATTTTTCAAGATTTTTATAGCATTGCTTGGAATATACCATTCACAGGGGTGGGCTTAACAACCTTTCAAATTACTCAGGCATTGATTCCTTCATTTGTTCATTCACTCATTCAGTATTTTTCTAGGTGCTAAATGCAAAAGTTAAAAAATAAGGATCATTCTTTCTCTTATGGAGTTACAATATTGGGGAGGGGGGGAAAATATATTTGGAATGACAAAAGCATAACTGTGAAGTACCAGAACATAGTATTTGCCTTCCAGCAGCTGCTACACCATGTCTGGCCCACAGTACCCATTCAGGCATCATTAATTTCTAAGGCTCCAAACAGCCAAACTATTTGTAGGTTTGATTAGTTGGGTCAAAGACTAGCCTGCTACTCTTTATATTTTGACCTCTGACACAGACTACTGATAACTTTTTCGAAAACATAATTCTATTTCTTGTCTTTATTGTAAAAGTAGCACATTTATAAAAATATGATAATCAAAAATATGTTAAAATTCCTTTTCATTCCATAATTCAGAGATAATTACTACTAACATATTGGCCTAAATCTTTCCAGATATTTTTTCTTTATTTATAAATCAGAAATGATTATTTTTTAAATAAAATGGGATTATACTATACAGTTTCAGATAAACTTTTTCCTTGATATATTTCCATATCAACAATGTAGGTATACAGTATTAGCTTTCATTGCTATGTGGTATTCCATTGTTCACATGGAGCATCTATTCTACTTTATTTTATAGCCCCCATATTGGTAGATATCTAGATTTCTTCCAGTTTTCTCCAATACAAACATTTTTCACTTCTGTCCACTTATATCCTAGAACTAGAATTGTTGGCAATGTGTGCTTTCGATATGCAATGGCAAACATCCTGAGAAAAGTTGAATCAATTTACACTCACCAGCTATGTATAGGAGTGCCTGTTTCTCCAGGCCTCTACCACAGTGGGTTTTTAAAGTCTTTCAATTTTTTAATATGCTAGATAAAAACATTATCTCGTTTCACTTTTAATTGTTCTGATTACTAGTGAAAATTTTTCATATACTTATTTGCCATTTTCAATTCTTCTTTCATGACATTTCTATACCATCCTTCATCACTTTATTATTTCTCTGTTTCTATGTGTGTGTGTGAGAGAGAGAGGTGAGAGAGAGAGAGAAACAGGAGAGAGAGAGAGAGGAGAGGTGGGGGGGGAGAGAGAGAGAGAGAGAGAGAAAGAGAAGGAAAGAATATATAAAAGCCTAGAAGAATATGCAACAAAATGGTAACATTGAATATCTCTAGAGGGTGGTCTTATAGATGGCTTTTCTTTTTCCTTTATTTCTTTTTAAATTTACATTATCTATTTTCCCCAATGAATACATATTATCTAAATAATAAAATCCTGGCTAAATATGTATAGCTCTTTACAATGTGTTTCTGCAGACATATGGTGCTTTGTACACTGATCATTGTGTTGTGGAAGCTATTTTCTAAGCAGCACAAATATCTAAAATAATGCATTGAAATAGCTTCATGCAACTCAATGGATACGAAGTATTTTAAAAACACATGAGATATTTAAAACTTTGGCAGTTTCTTAAAAATTTAAACATAATTTTATCATATGATAAATATCTGCCTGTGTCTCTCCACTCCGGCTGGAAGGGAACATGCAACAGCACCACAAGGCACTGTGGAATAATGATGCAGATGGGACCTGGGATGCTGAATGACCACGTGAAGCAAAGCCAGTTGGACCATCCCCTACCTCTGGATTGACATTGAGGAGAGAAATAAACATTTTGTTGTTGTTTCATTTTAGCAACTTAGCCCATACCCTAATTAAAATCCTGGGTTAGGCATCAGAAGACCTGTAACCTATTCCACATCTGTTTCTAATTAACTGAAGCTTTTGGTAAATCACCGTACTTTTTTGAGTCTCAGTTTCTGCCTCTTAAAATTAGGGGGTTAGATGGAATGGGAATCCTAACAGTTTTTGTGCCATTGACCCCTTTGACAAACAGGTAAAGCCTAGAGGTCCATCTGAGAATAATGCTTCTAAATACACAAAATGAAATACATAAGATTACAAAAAACCCAATTACATTGAAATATATTAATTGTTCTAACGATAGACCCTTTGGGAGTCTGTGGATCCCAGTTAAGTACATCTGGATGACCTTTGAGGTTCCATCTTGGTCAAAATGCCTATGAATTTATGATTGTATTTAGTGTATGTAAGATAAAAATTAGTAAGCCCACCTGTATTGCTTATATCCTTACTTTTCTGCATATTAGGATGCTTTTACATTTTAAAAACCTTTCTGGCCAAGGAGAGACAGCAGATTGCCCCTCCAAAGGATAGCCAATTCTTAGAGGTAGCAAAGGGCCCAGTGGAGGGCATGCGTTTGATATGCAAACTAAGTAATCCAAACCATACCCCCTCTGTCTGGCCCATAAAACCCAGGTAACCCAGGAGGCAAAGTCCCTCTGCCTTAATCATCCCCTGGCCAGGTACCAGGCAACTAGGGACCACACCTACAGTTTAGAACCCACCAAAATTATTTGAATTAGCCAATCTTAAACTGTTCACTTGCCCTGCCTTGACTTTCCCAAGAAACTCCAATAAAGGGCATGGTCTAAGCTCTCCCTTTGCTCCTGCCCCTTCTGCCTCCTGATGACACAGATGCTCTCCTGTGTGGCCTGCTGTGCCTTCCATTTCTAGGACCTGTGAGTGCAATAAACTTTGTTTTCTTGAGCCTCTTCTGTGTCTTTTCTTCTGGCTGCACCTGACTAACCATCATGTAGTAGAACACAGAACACTACCCCGGTATCCTGAAAGTTTTAAGGGTCTTCCATGGGATCCCATGGAGAAATAACATTCTACTTGTATATATCCAATCCATTTAAGACACGACTGAGAAAAAGAAAGACTCCTAAAATCAACAATTATGGTTTGTCTCAGGAATTAAGTTGTAGCCCCTTGCTTCCTATCAAAACCGAAGCTACAAAGAAGGGGACTGGAATGAAATAGTAAATTTCCTCCCTAAATGCATACATATTAAAGGGTAAGCCCCCAAATAATACATTCCTCTTTTGTGGCAGCTTCCAGGAACTGAGATGGCTTTCTATATTATTAGGATTTAGCTTTTCCACTTAAACACCTGTGGAGAACTGTATTCGTGGCTTATTGAAGATGAGGAAAGTCCTGACAGTAGTGATAGTAACATGGTCTAGAAACCATGGGTTGGTGCCTTCAGGGTTCACCTTTTACACTAGGTCTAGTTTAACTAGAAACTAAAATTCTTAGCCCAGGTAACCTGGAAGAAGTTTGAAATGACTCTTTCATCATTACAGAAACATGTTTGGATAAATTGACTTGGGCTCAATGTGGTAAATATTGTTGGGTGTTCTGTTTTTTGCTAGGACTCACCTCGAACAAAGACGTAAGCACTATATTGTTCATAATATTCTCCCATTCGTACACGAATTGTATAGAGGCCTTCATCTTCCTTGTTGAGATGGGAAAATGTCAGTGTTGCCCGTTCTCCACTCCAATTTGTTTGCACCCATTTTGATGGAGAAACAGGTGCTCCTAAAAATTAAAAAAAAAAGGAAATTAACTTATTTTTCCTCCATTATTTCCTTCTTCTTCCCACCCTCTATTCCTCTCCCTTAAACTTTTCTATATTGAAAGCTATTTAATTACTAGAGGAAGTGTCTAGGATTTTGAGTCATTGTGCTATGTTTATATTAGTAAAAATACTAGACCGAAAGTTTGGGGACCAGGGCTAGATATACAATTTAGAGGTGCCTGGTGCAAAATTAATTTGCAAGGCCCCTTGTTCAAAAAACAGAAAAAGTTAAGTTAAAGGTGTTAAATATTCCTGAAAATTATTGTGCAGAAGAAAAACAAAAGTAGAAATGTATTTTTAAAAAAGACCAAAAAAAGAGTAATAAGAAAAATGAAAAAAACAAAAAAAAATTTTAAAGAAAAAAATAATTTTTACAAAGAGGAAAAAAAGTGCTAAAATATAAAGCTTTTTCCTTAAGAATATTTTATTACTTATAAAGTATAATAGGATAATAAAAATTATAAAAAATAATATTTTGGTGCTATAACTATATATAATAAGTAATATTACTCTACTTTTTTTTTACTTTACTAATGTGATGACTTGATTGATAATAACATATTTGTGGCCTGCTTTTCTACAAATTCATTTATTAGTCATCTAAATCTATACTTTTAGCAACTTCATTTTGTAGAATTTATAAAGTCACTCTTTATAAACACAAGCTCACAAATGAGGTTCCATAACTTATTTTGAGAAGGACTTTTCTGAGGATGCAACTGTTACTGGAGCTGTTAAGAATGTTACACAGGCTATAACAACATTAGGTTAACTTTCTGATAAACTCTTTCAAAATATAAATTTTAGTACTCTAGAACTGATGATACTTGGCGAACAATTTTTCTAAAACGATTTAACTCTTTATACAGTTTCGTGTAGGTCCAAATTTAATTTTAAATGTAAATGTATACGATTGCATTTTAATGCTTTGTCTAACTTGTGGAGATGATACTAAGACCAAAAATGACTTGTGATTAGTATATAATTTAGAACACCTGCTATGCATTCTATTATTGTGTCTTCAATTACAAACTTTAATTTAAAAACTGTCTTCCTTGTTAATAATTGGCTCATCTAAAGTTTCACATAAAAATCATGTTTTTTTCCATCAAATGCTAAAATCTTTAAATTTAATTTCCATTTCTAAGCCTCAAGACCAGAGATTCCAAAGTCTTTGAGAATTCTAATAACTGCCTTATGTGCTTTATTACAATGTCTACGTGTACACTTTTATCTCATAATATTCTGCTGACAAAGTTTACTGCCTGATTGCTGTCAGTCCCTGCCCTTGCACTCAGGCCAGGGAGTTCATATTTGTGCAGATCCCACAAAGATGAGTTCTGAGGATGGATAGGAAAGCTGATTGCCCACAGTGTATCCTCGAGCTACCCCCATGTGGAGCCCCTCCTCTCCTCTGGGGCTGCAGCCACCGTCACCTCTGCTGCTGCTGGTGCCACCACCATTGCTAATTCCAATCTGGGCCCAGGTCCTGGTCCCAGGCATCACCTTGGAACCTCATGGTGCCACAGACTGGCCCAGGTGCTCTCATGCCCACCAGGTCTGCTGCTTGGTGAGCATGCTGCCTGCCACCCAGTGCCCACCATGCTAGGGGGCCTACGTCTGCACATGTCTGCCTATCTCCTCGGATCATGTGCATGCTCCATAGTCCCATTGGACTTCACGTACAAAACACAAGTTCAAAGATAAAATGATTATGAATTTCAAGATTGTGACAGCAGAGCATTAAACCAAGCCCAGGTCCCCTTCCTGTGGGACTGCACAGTTAACATGCCCAAAAAGTCAAGCCCTGGAAGGGACCTATGTTTTAGCCCTATCTCTTTCATTAACTATACAACTTTGGGCAAATCATTTAACCTTCCTAGGCCTTAGTTTTTTTTCATGAACAAAATGGAGTTTGAACCATCATAAAGTACCTTATAGGAAATACCACAAAGGATCACCATTAACTAGTTTTTCTTTCATTTTTCTATATTTCTCCAAGTTTATTTTATAAAACAGTTACACAGAAAAATTATATGATAACATTACTAATACACAGAGTAGCTGGAATTTTAAAGTTTTCAAGGGCTTTAAGATATAATCCTCTCTAGAAATAAATCTGGTGAAGACTTTAGGATGAATTAAAATGGATGATGAGAGTCTCTGGGTTTATTCATTGCTCTCTCCACGACACATCTTTTATTAGCTAGGAGCTAGCTTCACAGATAAATATGCACCTAGGGGCAAATTTGATTTCTTAAATTTCAATGCTTTTTTCACTACCTAGGCATAAAGGGATGCAGAGGTCAGAGAAAGTACAAATTTTCCCGTGTGGTTTTCTTTTCCTGCTTAGACCTTGTGTTTCAGTGATACAAGAGGAGGTGCAGGGTAATAAAAAGAGCTCTGGGCTTAGAATGAAAACCATCAGCTCTGAAGGTCTCACGTGGCCAGAATTTGGCTGTGGGATTTGGGGCAATCCCTTATTCTCCTCAGACAGTTTCGTCTTAGTCTATTTAATGACATAATCTGGTATAGAAACTCAGTATATTTGGATCTAAGATTTGCTGTAATTTTAGAAATAACATTATTTCTTAAATTCAATGCTTCAGCTAATCAACTTGTTTTGATAGCTTTTTTGTTTTGTTTTGCTTTGTTTGGGTTTGATCTGGAGTGTTAGCTAGCCTTTAAATAGACTTTGACCCAAATCGGATTTAAAAGGGAAAATTAAATACTTATTTCTTTCTCACACCAAAGTATTGTGGCTCTGGGCTCTTTTGAAGCAAAGTAAGGCTGAATTGTGATTTAATGCCAGATTCAGAGGAACTGACAATAGAAAGATTTTCTTTCTGTTCTACCAGCTTCAGTTATAATATAATGTACAACAAAAGAGTGATGTTATCTACTTTTGTGCTCTTAAGGGACATCAGTATAACTTGCATGTTTTGTATGCAGAATATACTTATCAGAGGTTTCAAAATTATAAGAAGCCTTTGAAACATTAGAACAAAAGTGCCAAGGTCTAAATTTCCTCTTCATTTACTATGCTGGTTAATGAAGAATATCAGCATTTTATTGTTTTATAAGGTTATGATTTTTAAAGTTTCATACAATTTCAGTAGTTTCTATGAGGAAGGGTATTTTACCAAATAAAATTAATTTACGAAATGAATATACATTTCTTGTAATTCTTTCTACATATTACTTATTGATAAGAAAATATCATCTCTACAAATATATTATGAAAGTGTTGCTACTTTGCTATATATGTAAAAACTTTTTAAACATACAGTAGGCAATCCCCCCTAACTTCCAGATTCTACCAGCTCTGACAAACAGATCTGCAATCTGGTCTGCAACCTTCTGTGAATACGAACCTAAGTGAGAATTCATTATAAAGACTCACCATTTCTGTACCACTGGATTTCTGGCTGGAAATGTTTAATTTCGGGAGTGATGACTACACGACAGCCTAGACTCATCGTCTCTCCCTCTCTCCCAAAAGACACATCAAACTTGTCATCAAAGTGGATCTCAAACTTGGATGCATAACCATAAGGGGTCACAGCAACTGGGTACAACAAAAACAAATATCAGTAATTTATTTTTTTCTCATGAAAGAGACACAGGCATTTTAATAAGCACAGGCAGAAAGTAGTCACAACAAAGACTAATCAAATGACATATTTGGGCAAAATGACTTATTTGGGCAAAAATGAAGTTCTATGTAAGAAGTATATATACCCCATATGCATATAGTGGGTCATTAAATATGAAATATCCGATTTCAAATCAAAAGTTTACGGGCACGGTGGCTCACTCCTGTAATCCTAGCACTCTGGGAGGCCGAGG